GCTGTTATCCGCCGCTAACATTAAAACTGGTGGGGTAGTTTTTTTTGTTTTTGGGGGTATAAAAACTGACGTAGGAACATGTCATCGAATCCTAAATAATCCACAATTTACCTTACCTTACCAACCCTACCCTACCCTACCCTAGCTTAAGAAAATACCTTATATCTCACTATTAAAGTTAAATCATGAGAAATATTTTAGCGTCGTATCCCCGTAAATAAACAAACAAACCAAAGCCTTATGGTGTAGTAACTCGAGAAACTTTTAAAATACACAGTTAAATTATTCTCATTAATATTTTCACAACGTTGCCTAATTTCAACTTATTCGAATCCTAAACATAGAAATGATTTAATTAGTCCACATAATATATTAAGATCGTGTAGAAGGACTTGGGCAAAAATCTGCGAGTATAAAACGAATTATTTTTTACCATCGTTTATTATAATTACTTCAATAAGAAACAAAAATTAAATATTACAATTTTAAGCATCATATTAATAAGCTGAAATATCACCCGGACAGTACCTCCCTCCCTGAGACTTCCCGTGGAACCTAGAGACGAACTATAGCAGCTAGCAATAGTAAACATCTTCACTTAACGGGAAAAACCTACATCAGTCAAGTCGGTAAAGGAGAGGTATTTATCGATCTTGGAACGCGCTAAGAATCTCTACAGTTTACCGCCTCACCACATACTGTCATTACGTGCAGGGAGGAAGTTGTTAAGGACAGATGTATTGGTAAATGATGCTGAGGTCTAATCACAGGAGGTTGGTTAGTGAGCCACAACGAGTAAGAGTGGTTGTTGATACGTTGTGTGGTTATGTGGTGGAAAATGGTGGTAGTCGTAGTAGTTGTTGTTGTCATTATTGATGCTGTTATTATTATTATTATCATTATTATTATTATTATTATTATTATTATATTATATTTTATTTTTATGGTGTCTCAGAGTAGGTCATAACCTTTACGTTTATGATCCTTCCTTCCTTCCTTCCTTCCTTCCTTCCTTCCTTCCTTCCTTCCTTCCTTCCTTCCTTCCTTAATTTAGCCTGAATAATTAATTAATAAGGCCAATTTATATTCTCACTCTTATACATATAATTATACTGAGCACTAATGTATTACAGTTTTAGTATAATAATTACAATGGGTTTTATAGTACAGTGTTTTAACTTTTTTAAGGCTTTTTTTTTAAGTTACAACAGCTTGACGGTAAGACATTGAGTAGAGACAGGGAGAGACAGAAGACGCCGTAAGACATAAGCAGACAGATAGACGGTGAGTGAGTTGTTGATGTGTAAAATAGGATAAGACAGACAGACAGACAGACAGACAGACAGAAAAAAACAGGAGAGGAAAAAGACATAACAGAGACGAGAACGGACTCACGTAATCCACGATCAACTTGAGAAATTAATGGTGGTGAAACGTGTGATGTAGTGTGGACCTGTTGTGTCTGTCTGTCTGTCTGTCTGTCTGGCTAAGATGAGGTTAGGTTGAGTGTGTGTGGTAAGTGAGTGTGTGGTAGGTGAGTGTGTGGTAGGTGAGTGTGTGGTAGGTGAGTATGTGTGGTAGTGAGGAGGGTGCGTGGTGTTGGGTAGAGTGTGTGGTGAGGAAGATAAGGAGAAGGAGGGAAGGAGAAGGGGACAGGAAGGCAGGAGAAGGGGGAGAAAGGTAAAAGAAGGGGGGAAGGAGGGAATAACAAGGACTAATAAAGGGAAGGAAAAAAAAGTTGGGGCTAAGAAGAGGGAAGGAGGAAAAGAGACGAGAACAAAAGAAGAGGACAAGAAAAGAAAGGGGAGGGAAGGGGCGGGAGAGAAAGAAAACAGGAATGGCACAAGAGGAAGAAGTAAGAACAAGGTCAGAAAAGTGGAGGAGGCAGCGTTATCGAAGTGCCTCGTTACTCTGCGGTAAGTGGCACCAGTGACGGCACGGGGTTCTGCAGTTCCCGCCACTTACACAACAAACCTAATTCTCCGTGATACTTTCCGTGTACGCTAGGTTACGTTAGATTACGTTAGGCTACGTTAGGTTAGGTTAGGGCGTTTAAGAGCGGCAGAGTGACCCGAGAGTTAACTGGTTTGTGTTTTAGTGGTGCGGATACTGGGGTGGGTGGTGGATGAGGGTACTTGAGTGAAGGAAAGGTGGATGTGGGTAATAGGTTGGGTGGTGGGTGGGTATTTGAGTGTGGGGAAGGCGTGTTTGGGGAGGATGGGTGCGGGTATTTGGGTCTAGGGAGAGTGTGTGCGGGTACTTTGGGGGTGGGGATGGTGTGGCTACGTTTACCGACCTCTGTGATGACCCTTCTTCTTTACCTGTCATAACCTCCTACTCATCACTCCGGAAAATCTCTAATTGACTTGACTTTCACTATCCCTCCCTCCCTCCCTCCCTCCCTCCCTCCCTCCTTCCTTCCTTCCTTCCTCCTTCCTTCCCAATCCCCCCCCCTAAGATGTATCCTAAGATCTATACCTACAAGATGGCTGACCACGTAATTGATTATGGGAGTTGTGACGTCAATGCAAACTAAGAATTAGTGGATAGAACACACAACCGTTATGAGATGGGTAAAAAATTCAACTAAAATAAAAATTAATTAAAATCTCCATCATAGTTAAAGATATGTTTGAGTTCGAGGCTAACTACAGAAATCATTTAGTCATGTAGTCCCCGACATGAATATAAACAGACCATGCCAACGTGTTTTGTATAATATTTTTAACATTATATTCGTAGGATTAGCCTTGTATTTTTTGTTTCTACGATGCTGATATTATTTGGAACCTAATTAGTAAAACGAATAGTCAATGAAGATATCGCAAAACAGTATACAAATATTCTCAGTTTGCATTGACGTCACAACATCCATAATCCATTGAGCGGTCCACCATCTTGTAATGTATAGACCCCCCTCCCCACTTCTCCATCCCCCCCATTCCTCCTGTCTCCTCCCCTCCATCCCCTCTTCCATTCTCCCATCACCTCCATCCTCCTACCCCCTTCCAACACCCTCCCACCTCCCCCCTCCCACCCCCCCTCCACCCCTCCCACCCCCCCTCCCACACAACAAAATTTTCCCGGGTGGAGTTATTATCAAACTTGGCCTAGAGGAATTGGTTCTTTTGGCCGCCTTTAATACCTTCAAACTTGGCTAATACAAATTCAATTAAAATTTTGCCTAATTGTCCATATTTGTGGGAGAAGTTTTGTTAAGGTTACTCACCCCCTTCTCTCCCTTCTCCTCTCCCATACCATTCTCTCCTCCCTTCCCTGTCCTCCTCTCCCCTTCTAATCCCCATCCCCTCCCATCCCATCTTCTCCTCCCTTCCCCTTTCCTACCCTTTCCTCTCTCCCCTTTTCCTTCTCTCCCTCCCCCTTTCCTTCCCTCCCTCCCTCCCTTCCCTCCCCTCCTCCCCTCCCCCTCCCCCTCCTTCCCTCCCCTCCCCCCTTTCCTTCCCTCCCTCCTCCCCTTCCCCCCCCCCTTCCCTTCCCTCCCCCTTCCTCTCCCTCCTTCCTCCCCTCCCTCCTCCCCCTTCCTCCTCCACCTGACTAACGTGAAGGTGATAGTGGTTTTCTGTGTTCTGCCTGGGTGTGGCTGTATGTCTAGTTGGACGGTATGATTCTGTCTGTCTGTCTATCTGTCTGTCTGTCTGTCTGTCTCTGTCTGTCTGTCTGTCTGTCTGTCTGTCTAGATTAAAAAATTCTTACAAACACAAAATACTTTATTAACGATCTGATATAAATTATAAAAGCAATTACGTTTTGAAACTACATTTATATCGAGGGAAAAAATCATATAATAACGACAGTATGATTTTAAATTAAGTTTTAAGAAGAGGAAGAATTAAATGAAGGTCGAGATAAGTATTGAAACGCTATATGAAGGTCGACCTTGAGGGTTGGAGAGGAATAAGTTGATATCTTCCTCAGCTTCTTGAGAAATACTGGAGGCAGCCACTGTGAATACGTTCTCAGAATTTCTCAGCTCTCTTGGTTGTTGATGCTGGGAGGGTTGAGAGCTGCAGTGTGTGTGTGTGTGTGTGAGAGAGAGAGAGAGAGAGAGAGAGAGAGAGAGAGAGAGAGAGAGAGAGAGAACACACACACCTACCTTTATCGAAATTCATCTCCAAAGGCTTCAATTGCACCCGAAAAATCGCCTGGAGAATGAAAGTCCTTGAGAATCCCGTAGGATCTGTTGGTATCCTCACGCTCCGGTGCCGAATCCTCCTAAAATGACACAGGCATAGACAGACACACAAGAGGCGTATATCATCATCAGCAGCTGTGGGCTTGCTTATCACCCCCTGCTCTCTCTCCCTCACCCCCTCCCTCCCTCACTCTCTCCTCCACCCCTCTCCTCTCCCTCACCCCCTCACCCCTCTCTCCTCTCTCTCTCCCTCACCCCTCTCTCCTCTCTCCTCTCTCAGCCCCTTCCTACAATTTCGAATTTAAATTGTGATTTTCCCTCGAGTATGCTTCGTTCATCGACCCTTACCTGCGGCACTCACAGGTGTCAGTCTGCTCTCTCTCTCTCTCTCTCTCTCTCTCTCTCTCTCGTTTTCGTTATTTCTATCTTATTTATCACATCCCTGTCTTCCCTTGTCATTTCCTTATCATTTTTCTCCAATTTCATGACATTAGGAATATTATCGAAATAGGGCTTTTATCTGACTCTACCCAGTCCTTGTTCAGTCGTCTCTCGTCGCCTGGCCCATAGATTGAGAGGCGGGTGAGTGTCTGTCCTTATTTAAACTCGTGTTCATCACTTCATTGTCCTTTTTTACGTCCTTGTCCTTGTAGAAATATGTGACTCGAGCATCTGATGGCTTTGTCGGCTGTCTGTGGTGAAATTGTTTTATTGTTTACTCTTGTTATATACGATGGTCACCCCTACACCATTACCTTATGCTAATTAGTGCTCTACCTTTCCTTCACCTCTATACCCCTGAGTATTACCCTGACATGAACTTGACCTCTCATCTCTTCGTCCCCAGGTCACTCGCGGCAGGGCCTCAAGTGTCGTATGTGCAAGACGAACGTACACACTGAGTGCCAGGACCAGGTGGGCAAGTGCCAACCCAAGTCCCGCCTCTTGCGACGCCAACGCTCCACCTCCGAGATCGAGACGAAACAGCTCGAAGGAGGCGAAGAAGATAGTGAGTATTGGGGTCTTTGTTTTGTATCTCAATTTATTCTTAGAAAAATATATGGTTATTTATACATTTATTAATACTGTGAAGGGGTATTTTATAGTGTTGATTAATTAGTGTGTCTTCCTAGTGTTTATATTAATTATTAGGGAACGTTGGCCCGGTGTGTGTGTGTTTGTGTGTGTGTTTAAGTGAACATGAGGGGTGTGTAGGGGTGGCTGGCAACAGGTAAGGTCCAGGACGTTGGTTATACGTCACTATGACCTTCTACCTGTGCCATATAGCCTCACCCCTCTGCTTCTCCTCCTCCTCCGGGCCTCTTGTTCTCTCCCTTAAATTCTCTTTCTCATCAACTTTTCCTTCCAGAGGCTAAACAAAAAATTATCAAACTAAACTTAATTCTCACCCACATATATTAAAGCTATACCAGTCTAACAAGCGTCACTTATGGCACTGCAGAGTATAGATGGCGTCAGTGTCCCCCTTAATCACTGCCTCATGAGTCTGTGCTCCTCAGTAACAATAAACTAGACACATTATATTGCTGTTGAAATATTTCCATCATACATTTATTAATAGTGTTGATTTTGACCCAACTAGTAGAGTGATCATTTTACCTGTAAGCTGCACTAAGTGTGTGTGTGTGTAAGGCGAAGAGGGTGCGTGTGCGTGTGTCCCCAGCAGGCCAAATATCTTCACTACAGGTGTTAGTGCACCAGCACCTGCTCCAACAAGTGTGCCATAATGGACACAAAATTATCACCGTCCGGTTCCCACGAATAAGACTAAGAAACGAAAAACAAACAAATAAATGAATAAATAAATAAATACATCGATAATCCTAACAATAATTCTAAATGTAATAAAATATCCAATTCTCATTTGACGGATCACCTGCTGAAGCTAATAATACTCATCAATGTAAACCAGAACTGTCAGTCTTTCCTACCAAGAGCTATATTTGGCCCTCAGTACAGACAAACATATTATAGATATATATTTATTCTCAGCTGTAGATCTCCTGAAACATCTTTAGAGCGATAGAAGTGTTCTGCATGACATGTCAAAGGGAAGAATCTAATGTACCGTGTTAAGACTTACCTGTTATAACACTTCCCAGGTGAGACCGGCACTCCTGTGAACACCTCTATATATAGTTCACACGGTCCAGGACTCACGTTATCACCTCCTGTCTCTGTTATATTGACCTTTATTCTACACCTGTATTATTATTATTCTTTTGTATGTGTTTTTATGTTCGTATTTTTTTCCCTTGTAATACCGAGTTAGATGTGGTGTTATCTTTTGAACCACAAGTTTTAAGACCCCCTTCCCTCCATTCCTCAATTTTAAGACTACTCCCCTTCCTCCCCCACTCATTACCCCGTCAAGACCATTACTACACCACCTTATTAAGACCCCCACCCCTTCAATGTTTCTTTATTTTAGACCACCCCTCCCTCCCCCCTTTTTACCCCCCCTCTCCCCTCTTTTGAATGCCCTCCTCCTCCTCTCCCCTCTCTTCACCCCCCCCTCTTTTGGCCCTCCCCCTTCACCGTGAGACCTGTACTGTCTTAAGACGTTCCTAGTTAAGAGTTCTCCTCTTACAGTGTGGCCTCTCAGTACCTCCAGGACCGTGATCTCTCGACCCTCTGGTTAGTCCACCACACAAGCTATAACAACAGCCACTCGTGCTCGTGACCACCTAACAGCCGCACTTGTATTCTAATTATTTTTCTTTGGTTGGGATGTTCTCTTAATGGTACGGGAGACTTTTTCCTCAAGACGGCTGGGGATGGTCTCAGACAGCACGGATAATGATTGTGTCTGGCGGTGGTGATGTTTGCCTTCAGCGTGTTAACTTGTGTGTGTGTGTGACAGCACGCGAGCTGCCTCTGGGTACCACAAGTTCATAACAGCATCAGTTTTCTCTTCAATAAGAATGAGGCCATTTTTTTTATTTATTTATTTTTTTTTTGCCTGACGCTAACGAATAGGCTAAGTTGAGTGTGGTGACCTAACATGTGTAATGACTGTACGAGGCACTAATGCATGGCCGGCCGTTTGGCACACACACACACACACACACACACACACACACACACACACACACACACACACACACACACACACACACACACACTAGTCACTCCAGAGGGCCACACCATCAGCCCTCCATATGTGAAGTTGGTTCAAGTTAATGCTCATAAATCCTCTTCTTTTCATTATATTTATTACCCTAAAATACATCCTGACACATGCAGTATGACCCTGTGACCTGCCTGTATGATCGACGCCACACACAAGGCCACAGCAGCGGTGTTGGCCTCAAAAATCAACACCTACACCTCCCTTCACCTTCAGAAACACACACACACACACACACACATCATTGGTGACACCCGTGACACAGGTATTGGAAGACCTGGGACAAGAGAGGAACTCGTTTGGGGAACAAGAGAGGAACTAGTGTGAGGAACAAGAGAGGAACTAGTGTGAGGAACAAGAGAGGAACTAGTGTGAGGAACAAGAGAGGAACTAGTGTGAGGAACAAGAGAGGAACTAGTGTGAGGACAAGAGAGGAACTAGTGTGAGGAACAAGAGAGGAACTAGTGTGAGAAACAAGAGAGGAACTAGTGTGAGGAACAAGAGAGGAACTAGTGTGAGGAACAAGAGAGGAACTAGTGTGAGGAACAAGAGAGGAACTAGTGTGAGGAACAAGAGAGGAACTAGTGTGAGTAACAAGAGAGGAACTAGTGTGAGGAACAAGAGAGGAACTAGTGTGAGGAACAAGAGAGGAACTAGTGTGAGGAACAGGAGAGGAACTAGTGTGGGGAACAAGAGAGGAACTAGTGTGAGGAACAAGAGATAGGAAGTAGTGTGTGGAACAAGAGAGGAACTAGTGTGGGGAACAAGAGAGGAACTAGTGTGTGGAACAAGAGAGGAACTAGTGTGTGGAGGGTACTGGGTGAGGTCTAGGATTTTTCACCCCTTCACTTGATTGTCTGTTCACAGTGGGGGAGGCTGGGGAGATGGAGGAAGGGAAGGCTGAGAGGGGTGTTTAGTTGCCATCAGTGTCGGTCAGTGTCACACGGTGTCATCCTGCCACCAGATGACATTAGAACACAGAGGCGGGTCCACGACAATGCCTCCCTCCTTTTCACGCCAATGAACCACAACACAGGGAACACTAAGTACAACATAATGATATACAACAACCTTAACACAACAACGTCACGAGCGAGTAGGCAGAGAACACCGCTTCTGTGGCTTCTCTTGCAGGACGTCACACAATCCCTTACAGCCTTATATAAACCCTAGCAGAGCCCTGTCAGCCTACAGAGCCTTACACAGGTCTACCTGCAGAGCCCTATACAGAACCCTAAGCCCAGCAGAGCCCTTACGTAAAGTTCTCCACTCCCTACAAAGCCCAGAGCATCAGGTGTAACATGGTGCCCCGTCTCTTGCAGCGGACCCCACTGTCTTCAGCTCTCTAATCGCCAGCCAGCCGTCAAGGCGAGGCGCTGAGCCGCCTTCTCCCAGTGCGACTACCGAGATCCAAATAGGTACTTAGGGTCCTTGTTGGGCAGATGGAGATGTCCCGCGTCCAAGATCCCTTAGGGAGTCTTCATGGGGCCCTCAGGGAGCCCCAACTCGTAAAATGCCGCGCGCACAAGAGTCTAGTTTAGCCTGTGCATATATGCAGTTATTTTGGTCTTTAGTGTGGTACTCCGTCAGTCTCTTAGATTTAGTTGAATTTTGTTTCTTTTTAGTTTTAGCTCCTCAAGTGCGAGCGTGTGGTAGCCCCTATAGACGGTGTTTGTCGTGCTCCGTGTTCTATATAGTCGTGAGACGTCTTATAAGTGTACTGTATATTAACAAACACACTTGGTGTTCATTTCTTGTCCACCTGAGTTGATGTGGATCAGATTAGACTGTTTGTTTTCGTAGATCTTGAATAACCTTTGACGGAGTATCGTAGAGACTCTCGGGACGATTAATAGTGTTTATAAGTAAACCTTTTAAGTTGTAGAGATCCAATTGGCCAGTCAGAGTGCTAAACTAGACTCACTTGATCCCGGGAGGAGCAGTGCCTCCCGTCCGTGTCTTGTGCCCTGCATGCCCTCCACCCTTGGCTGAGCCGAGTCTACCAGTCGATTCGTCATTGCCAGGAAACCGTGTGTGCTAAAACAAACCCTCGGTTGTGATGTAACGAAAAGAAAAAAAAGGCGTCATTATCTTGTTATGTGAACACAGTTGTAGAGCCACAACGGCCGGAGTCGAGCCAAGGATTGACGGGTTGGTTTTATGACACATGTGCTTCTACCAGGCGAGAGAACCCGTCCATGTTCACAACATACAACTTCAGTATTCAGTATTTCTCGTAGATAATTTTGTAATCGGTAGCGTTCACAGTTTTTTCGAGAGAGACAGGAAACCGAAGGTGAATTTTCAAGCCTCTGTTTTTCTCCCAGTGTCTCACACATCCAGGGGCGAGATATTTTAGCTCCTGGTGTTGAAGCGCAAGGAAACCTTTTAGTGTAGCGTTAGCTGCCACTTCCGGTGAGCTGTGAGCATTTCCCATGGAGGGCAGATTTTGTTTTTGCCTCGTGTGTAGCGCACTACAACATTTTAGACTAGAGTAGGTTGTAGCGGGCGGGGCCGTGTCTTGTCCAGGGCATATCAGCGTGTGGGCAGCCCGCCTCACCCCACACCCGCCCGTCTTGCAGGCTCCTCCTGTGCACTCCCTCCCACCCTCCCCGCTCTCCTCCCATTAGCTATCTGACTGCTGAATGCTTTCCTTCGTGCTAGAGTGTTTTATATATATCTAGTGTCCGGATATTCTACGTTTTAATAAGTGAGTGAAGTATTGTGGTCACCTGAGTAGTTGTCACTAACATACGGATAAGTTAAGTCTTTAATCTCAATTGTTTCTGGTCACTTGTAAGACGAAACTGAGAACGTTGAGTGTATTAGCTCTCCCTGACCTCTGGGGGACTCAGCCTCCCGACACCCACACCTGGGGTCACCTGCACCCCCTCTCACACCCACACCTGGGGTCACCTGCACCCCCTCTCACACCCACACCTGGGGTCACCTGCACCCCCTCTCACACCCACACCCTGGGGAACACCTGCACCCTTTCTCACACCCATACTTAGGGTCACCTACACCCTCTGTCACACCCGCACCCTTGGGAACACCTGCACATCCTCTGACACCCACACCCTGGGGAACACCTACACCCTCTCTCACACCCTATGGGGGGAACACATTGGCACCTTAATGGCACATTCTCACAGCACCCACATCCTGGGGGGAGGGGGGACAGCGACGCCCCCGGAGCAGGTATTGGTCAGGTGCCCCGGGGGCCACACACTAACTCCTCCGCCCGTTGTGTTGTTATAGACAAGACAGACAAGACGGAGGAGGTGGACCTCATATACCAGGTGCTGAAACAAGCGGGGGACCTGGGTGGGCGCCGCAGTACTCACGGCTCGGTGGAGCGTGACTTGGGTCGCGAGATGGGTCGTGACCTGGGGGGGTCGGCGGCCTCCTCGGGGTCCGGCAGCGCTACGTCCCTCCACCGGCGTTACCCACGACCCACTAACACCGGCTCCACCCTCACCGTCAACCCCGCCCCCGTCGCCTCCTGTTCAGGTACTAACACACTAACCATACTAACTCTCTCTCCTCTCTCTCCTCTTACTCCTCTGATAACTTAAACTTTTGCCATATTTTCAGTATTATTCTAATCTGATAAAACTCGCTGTCAATAGTTTAGACATTTATGAATTATCAAAAACAAATTACAGTCCAATATGACGCATAATAGAGGTATATAACATTACCCATAATGGTGTTTATCCTATACTCTACTTAAGAATAAATGTCTAAACTGTTAGTAAACCTGTATTACCTTTTCTCCTCAAAGATTAACTTTATATGGATACCATTTTGAACACTTGCTGAGATAAGATGGACGTGTGTCTACCTGTCTCACCTTGCTCATGATCTACTGCCCGTAACTTATTTATTCACTTCATTATGTATCACAAATTATAGAGAGTCTACCTGATAGAACAATTTTATTAACATATGACTTAAAATTCTTCTCTTGTATTGACGAGTTTTTTTCCAGAACAAGTACAGTAGTTTGTGTAGAGCTGCTCACAGTGCCTGGCAGGTAGTGTACACCTCAGTGCTTTAATTAGTGTACAGTATATAGTTGTGTTGAGGACAATATAAACACACTGTTATGTCTTCCCTGTAACTGCGGGAATTGTGAGAAGTTTAGTGGTGGGAATTTGATTAACCAAGACAGTGGATAAAGGAAAATGAGAATCGCTAAGACACAGGCGATTAAGGGGTAGAGGTTAGTATAGCAAACAGGTAATTGGTAACACTGTCATGTATTCTTCACAATTATGTCATGGTGGATCAAACTTTCTTATCCATCCATTTTTTTTATTACTTCCATATATTGTTTTTATACGTACAGTCACTCACAAAACTCCTGACGCCTCTCCTGAACCACGAACCTGGAAAATCAGACTCGTGAACCCGAAGCAGTAAACATTGATGCATTATTCTATTCATAAATGCTTCGGATTCACGAATCTGAATCTCTTGCCGGGTTCGTGGTTCAAGAGGAGAGGCGACAGGAGTCTTGTGGGTGACCGTACATATGTAAACAAACACACGAGCTGGACGGCCCGTTTAGGCGCACGAGCCCCGCAAAGTTGGCGGCCAAAACAGATGAATTTTTGGAACCTCTTTTTTGTACAAGTGTTTAGATGTGTTTGGTCTCTTTTGTGTAGACCAACCCACCTAGCTTAAGCCTCTTGAGTACGGTGATTTAATTCTTCTTGAGTTTGGTGATTTAATTCTTCTTGAGTACAATGACGTAACCTCTTGAGTACGATGACTTAACCTCTTGAGTACAATGACTTAACCTCTTGCGTACGATGACATAACCTCTTGAGTACAATGACTTAATCTCTTGAGTACATTGACAGCCTCTAGAGTACAATGAATTATCCCTGTGAATACGATGACTGAATCCCCTCCAAACACACTCATCGTACTCAAGGCGCCATGTAATCGTCTTCAAAGGGGTTACAGCATCATACTCAAGGGATTAAGACATTGTACCTTAGGTTGTTATGTCACATCATACTCAAGGGGTTAATATATGTTACTCATTGGTTTAATTCATTGTACTCAGGAAGGGGCTGTCATCGTACTCAAAAGGTTAAAATATTTCGCTTACTGTGTTAATTCATTGTACTCAGGGGCTATCATCGTACTCAAGAGGTTAATATATCTCATTTACTGTATCAATTCATTATACTCAGGAGATTATTGTCATCGTACTCAATATTTTACACACTCAATGTACTCAGGAAGAGGTTCTCATCGTGCTCAAAAAAAGTGAATTAACATTGACATAAAGGATGATTACAGGGAAAAAAAAAAAAGTTACATTTTTTTTATATATAGGACATAACAAAAGACTTAATCATCCCATCATATTTATTAGTAAGACTTTTTTTTAAGTCTTTTCATCTCCTTAAGATATTCTCGTGAGTGAAACCCTCAGACTACGATAACCTTTTGGTAAGTCTTATATCAAACTTCAATTTTTTTTTTTGTTCAATGTGATTTTTTTGTTGTTGTTTTTTTTAAAGTAGATTGTGAAACTTGCTTTATGTAACTGATGGCTTCAAGTGTCACCCCCACAACCCCTCCCCTCCCCCACACACACAAAATACCCCTCCCCCATACACAACCCCTCCCCTCCCCCCTCCCAAAAGAAGAAGAAGAAGAAGGAGATGTAAGTTAAGTTATTCCGTAAGAATATGTTTGAGAAGAGAAGTATTATATGTGTGGGGGGGGGCGAGGGGGAGGTTGTGTATGGGGGGGAGGGGTATTTTTTGTGTGTGTGGGGGAGGGGGGGTGGGGGTATGATTCTTTAGCGACTGTTGAGACGTTCACAGTAAGTGGAAATTGGTTTGGTGTGGTGGTTTACAACTAACAGGCAAAAGGAGACACTATAAGAGGACTGTTTTCTCTCTCTCTCTCTCTCTCTCTCTCTCTCTCTCCACCTTCCCTCTGTGTCGTCTCCTCTGTGTTAAGACGCCGCCATTGTTTGAAGGTCTGACCACACACCTCCACCAGAACTATGTTAATCCCCGCCCCCCATGTATCGAATTGTCTGCATATGAGAACATCGTCACCACCCCACACACCATTATATATATTAATCAATGCATCTACAAGAGTAACCTGTGGTGGGTCTTCAGGTGCAACAGCGAGGTCAGATCAAAAATAAATATCTAAACTTCTCTGTGTCAGTAAGTCAGTCAGTCAGTCAAGTCAGTTAGTTAATCATGATTGTGACGCAGGTAAAAGCATCATATGGTCGAGGTGGAGTTTAATCGTAAGTGTAATGTTTGTAATGTGTGTGTGTGTGGGGGGGAGGAGGGGGGGTGTGGAGTGGAGGAGTTGTGTGGTAGGGAGATGGCTTCGTAGGTTCCGTGTCTAGTAGGTTCTGTGTCTAGTAGGTTCCTTGTCTAACAGATGTCGTAGGTAAGTTCTTCTATCATTTACGTGCTGTTCCTGTGATCGTGTTTCTCCAGGTGGTGAGGTCGTGGTCTTCCTTCTGCTTGGTATTCCTGTGATCCTTGGGTCGTGGGGGTGGTTCTATGCGGTGTTCGTGTGGTCGTGTTTACTCCCTATGTGGTGTTCGTGTGGTCGTGTTTCCCCCCTATGTAGTGTTCCTGTGGTCGTGTTTCTCCTACGTGGTGTTCCTGTGTTCCTGGGATGGTAATGGTCGTCCCGCAACCTCTCAACAGTGTGGGTCGTCCTCTTTGATCTCACTGCGAGGTCCTAAAGTGGCTCTGAAGCTTGATTATCTCGTGGTTTTACAGGGACGTGATCAATCAACGACGAGTTCCCTCACTCTAGTTATTCTTAGGCAACGGTCCTTCATACATGGCTATCTCATATATGGCCCTCACTTGTGGCCTTCTCACACATGGCCCTATTATACATGGCCCTCATTTGTGGCCTTCATACATGTCCCTGAATTGTGGCCCTCATACGTGTCCGTGAATTGTGGCCCTCTTTTACATGGCCCTCACTTGTGGCCCTCGTTATTCGTGGCAGTGACGGCCAGGTTCGTAAATGTTTCGTCCTTGCTGCTGACAGTACGAAAAATCATTGTTTAATTTTAACTCTAGTGCTAAGGAGATGCTGTAAAGGCAACATCTTTCTCTACTCGCTGCTAACACGGTTAAAGAGTCACAGTTCCCTTGCTCCCTGAGATCTCTGAGGTGTAATGACAAAACTCAGGAAAGCATTTTTGAGTGTGGTGTGTAGACGTGCACACAACACCATGGCTTGACAATATTCTGTCTCTGACTCTGCCAGGGTCAGCAGAATGCCTGAGATTAGTTTATAATCCCACTGTGAAGGGTGGGAAGGAGAGACCCCAGCAGGGAAACGGTGAGAGACTTTAAGGCGGACGCAGACGTACTGTCCTCCAGATAACCAACTGGAGAAGATTTGTTAAGGGTGTCGACCAGCTGTTGTGCCATGGTCTTATCTGCTGCTCTTGTAGAAGCACCGTTCAAAGCGGCTCTTATGTTCCCCGGGCTTTATGGTGCAGCAGTATAAGTTGTTCTTCACAGGGTATAGTGCTGAAAACTTTGTGGTTCAGCGCCATGTTGTGATGAGGTCTTGGTTCACGGTGACTGCTTCATTGTTATGGTTCTACAAACTGGGTCATTTCGGGTTAGGAGTTACAGACTACGTGACCAAATGTCATGGTGGCGGCTGTCTTGGTCCAGGGTTACAGGTCTCAGTGTATGCAAACCTGGGGCCAGGAGGTGGCCGGGCTGTGGGAGGTGTGATGTCTTAAAGCGGGGATATCCGTCCATAAGTTGTGTGTGTGGTGTGTAGCCATCTCTCACCACACACCGCTCCTCGCCTCACCCCACACACACTCGACTCCGTGTTCTTAAGCTCCTGAATCTTACACAACATACATTATACACACTGATCTGTGAATGTTTCTCTTCTTCTGTCTCTTGTTATGTTTTAAATCATATGTTGTGATGTATGTACAGGCCATGATAAACATATATAATGATCTCTTCAGCATTAGGTTAGACGTATTGGTGTTCAGTCGGGCTGATCAGGTTAAAAAAAAAAAGCAATGACTAAGTACGAGAACACTGTGACATAAGTAACTCTAAGACTGGAGGCGCTCACAAAAATTTCCAAAATGTTAGGTAAGTCACCAGCAGCAGTAGGCGGAGCAGTAGCGGCAGCAGAAGCAGGAACAGGAGCAGTAATGGTAATCAAGGATGGGAACACGGCTGCAACAATGAGGAGGAGATTATTTGGCAAGAAGAAGTCACAGTCAGAGGGGATGGATCCGCCAATACGAAACGGTACACAGAGCCGAGCCTTAGGCGGCCCTGGTCCAGTTCTGCGTTTAGTCATCCCTCCTTATTGACAGCTTGAACCCGTTTTCTTTTACATCTACTAAAGCAGTCTTTGTGACGGACATCTGGTGGTGCCGGCCCCTGGGATCACCATCACTTACTGAGTTTATCACTAAATTATATCAAAATGAGACTTGATGCTTCAAATATGTCGATTCCTACACCACATTACTTTATTTCAACCGTAATGTCATATATATCAACTAGATTAACCAATTAGATACGAAGTTAGAGCAACAGGACCACACACACAGCTACACCCTCACCTGTACCAAGAACTAAGATGGATCGCTTACCTTCCTCACCTTAACAGAGTGGACTAGAGACTCGCTTATCTAGGCCAAGGGCTTGTTTAGTGTATATGAATCACCCTGAACGAGTGATATACAGTATGTAAACCTTTATACTATATCATATCAGTTTTTATTATTATTATTTTTTTTTTTAGAATCTGTCAATGCCACTGGACAGGAAAACGTTTTATTTGTATTCGTCATTTTAATTGTTTGTCTCTGATCCCCGGTTCCTCGTGAGTTGCCGGTACAGTGTTTGTTAATAGACGCGATGCTCTACTTTAAATATTATTTGTTAAGGCGACTTATAGACCGCGTATCAAAATATTTCCTTTTATTTGGGGTGATATTTGTATACCTCATTAAACAACGGTAATTCTTGTATACATGACACCAGTTTAAAGATTCATAGTTAGCATGATATTGGTGGATTTTAGTATAACATAATCACATTTAATACCTCATGGGTTCATCTAGGTTCAAAAAATGCATCGTATCTCCTCTAAACTCTTAAAAATGACACAGAACTGGATATATTAAGGTTTACTTGACAGATTTGACTAATGTGGAAAAAATAAACAGTTTAATTCAATTTAGGAAAGACTGGCAATAGACGGACTTAAGCAAACATAAGTAATCGTTGGGTATTTGTTTTGTTTTTTTTTGGTTCGGTGATGAGTTTTACGTGGAGGTGTTAAAGAGGGTGTGGCAGATGTGAGGAACAGTAGCGCGTGGAGTAGAAGTCTCCCTCCACAACAGAAGCAGATGGTGACTCCAGAGGGCCGTATATCACCAGCTTTAACTAACCCTTATCTAGAGGTTTCTGGAAGAATTTATATTTTTTTTCCGGAGACTTTGATATCAGCCTGGCATGCTCCCCCATTACTACTACTAACTACTATTACCACCACTAACTACCACCACTAACTACCACATTACCACACCACCACCACACTCCCCTCACTTCCTAAACCCCGGGGACTCGTGTTCACCTGGTGGCATACCCCCCTCTCATTTATTTCTCTAGTTAGTACTAATTCGCAAAAAAAAATTTAATCTAAAATTGGATTTACTTTTATCCTTCCCATTGATATTTCCTGTTTAAATCACATCTATTTATAATTTTTTTTCCTAGGTTAATCCTCAGACGGGGTGGTAGTCTCAGTAGTGTTTAGTCTTCTCTATGTCTACTTACCACCTGCTCTTCTGGATAATATATACATTTTTTTTTTCCATTGATATCAGTTTTGATTTCCAGGGAGAGGAGATGTATTTGAAAACATGGCCTTTTCCGACCTGGGCGTTCCATACGTCAATGGTATCACAACTGGTACTAACGCCTCTTCCATAGCTCTTGGATGCGCTTTTACCACCCTCCATACGCTCTCTCTATTCTCACTCTTTTGCAGCTGCTGATGTCTCTATAAAAAAAAAAACTCATCTCGCCACCCGCTCTTGATTACTTAACTCTTTCTTGGTACTTGGTTAACAGTAAAGCCACAAACTGTATTTCTTTTTTCTCTTTAGGGAGTCTTGAGTTTGTTTTTTATGGGGTCTTGAGTTTGTTTCCATGGTGTTGAGTTTGTTTTAAGGGGTCTTGATTTTTAGGGGTCATGGTTTTTCAGGGGTCATGATTTTTCAGGGGTCTTGATTTTCAGACGTCTTGATTTTTTAGGGATCTTGATTTTTCAGGGGTCTTGATTTTTTTCTTTTATACGTCTTGAGTTTATGGTTTGTATTTTATCATTATTAACATGAAAGTACGGTGGATGAAATTCTTGACTGTGGAGAAGCATTATTCCTAGAAGAAAAGAGTAAGACTAAGGTGTGTGGTAGAGTAGAAAACTTATTGCGTCAAATTTATTACAATGATGTGATGGTCGACACCCACACCTTATTGTATGGTTGAGATAAAAAAAAAAATCCCTCAAACTTTCAAGGATTTCTCGTCCACACCAGTATTTTCTTTTCTTCCTTTGTTCTCTTCTCTGTTCCTGTCAGCGTTTGTCTTCTTCTCTTCTTTGTTTTTCTCTCTTTCGATCCTTCTCTTCCACATCTCTGAACTAATATATGTTTGTCTCTTTTCCTTTATTTATTTGTATATTTTTATAATTTATCTTCTTCGTTCTAATAATTATCACCCCTAACTATATAACAAGTGAGGCCCCAGACGGCTAGTCATGAGAAGCAAGTGAGTCATCATGTTGCCGGGAGTGAGGACAGGGAGGCGATGGGTCCATGCTTTTAATTTGCAGGTTTTATTAAATTTATGCATTATCCTCTCATCAGTTTTTATTTTTCTAATTATTTTTTTTTATTTACTGGTAGGCCGCTAAAACACCACCATTATTAAACAAACTGAGCTGGACTATTTGCTGTTTTTTTTTTTTATGAATCTTCTGTGACGGAGGTTGTGATGGCCCTCTTTAAAACAGTGATGACATGCACTCAACTCACTCAAAACTCAGCTCAGAAGCATTTTGTTACTGTGCTCGCCCTCACCTCCGTCCCTCTCTCTCCCTCTCTTATGGTTTGTTTGGTTCTTGACGGTGTTTTGTAGACCCTTGGATGCCTCAGTTTCCCTCTCAGTCATGAAGAAGGAAGAGGAATGCACTGTAATGTTAAGGCTTCTTTATTTTTTTCTTATATAACTCCGCTGCATTATTAGGTAACTGGGATGCCCTGACTGTGTGCGTGTGTGTGTGTGTGTCCCCTTCGTGTGTGTGTGTGAGACTTGGCTTTATGTAATGTGTATGTGATTCATTCTGTTATGCACATTAATGTCCTGTTATATATATATATATATATATATATATATATATATATATATATATAATACCAAGTGTGATATATCCAGGCAGGTTAAGAGTATATACAAAAGGAAAGATATGTACAATGTATATATCGTATTTCTTGTATATTAAGTGAGTCTGTAGTAAATATGTAGCAGTTTTGTATAGTCTCCGATCTTACTCACAGACGGACTCCAGCTACGGTACTAATCCAGCCCTCCTCTCCCCCTTCTCCCCCCCCACAATCGCTACCCTGCCTTGTTCATAGTATATCCCTCCGCCCCCTCCCACCCTATAGACCTTCCTTCCGCGACGTCTTCTGGCTTTCTAACGCGATCTGGTGAGTGCGTGGAGGGACCTAGTGCTCTGGCACGTGTGGGTGCGTGGGAATAATGTTGGGTTTAGCATCTGTATGGATTTTTTTTTTTTTAGTATTTACGTCCAAATATAATTGTTTAAGCATTTTTACCAGAAATCATTGTTTTATAGTACTATTGGTCTTAGCATTTACACGAGAAAACCCCATGTTGATTTTATAATTTACCTGAACAATATCGTTGGATTTTAGCATTTACATGAAAAAATGGTCTTTATTTGCACGAAAAATAATCCGGTTGTCGTTTTTGTATTTTCTCGAAAAAATAAAGTTGGTTTTAGTTTTTACACGGAGTTTTAGTGTTAATTTTAGCACTGACACATTTATTGTATTTTTTTTTACATATTTACAGAGAAATATTGGTTATGGTATTTATTATATGTTGTAGTTTATTTTGATCATCTCGACGAAACATTGATATTGGTCTGGATAAACGATGTTGATTTACCAAGGATAGCGTAATATGTGTTCTCTCTCTCTCTCTCTCTCTCTCTCTCTCCTTCACGCATCTTTCTACATACTCTCACACTTTATCACATTCTCATATTCAGTAAATTAAGAACTAGAAGTGAGAGAGTTGAGGCAAACTCTTAACAAGGAACTCCACTAAGATATAAGCGTGACGGGAAATATTTTTACTTCGTTTTCCGCCCCGTAAGAAAAATATTTATTTTTTATTTTTTTCAACTTTTACCCTCTCATGTTTCCTTCTCTATCCTTGCCCTTTCTTGTCACTTTCTGTACCCTATCATCTTCCCTTCTCCAGCCTTGCCCACTATTACCCCCCCCTTGCTCCTTTTCTCTACCCTTGCCCTTTATTGCCCCTTTCACCCTTAATCCTCTTGCCCCCCCCCCCTCTTTCTCCACCCGAAGAGGGAAGATGAGGGTAAGGCAGGGAGGGGAAATTTCAGATAGAGTAGAGGAGGTCGTTTCCCCTCTGCCAAAACAATGCTCTGGGGTATATTTTCTCCCTTGGACGGCGTTGCCTTCTGGTCTTGCCGACACCTTCAGGAACCCGAGCAGTAGTTGAGGCTTCCGGGAATACGTAGGGTGTTTTAAATCTGCTTCAGAAAAGTACAGGGTGTTTTAAATCCGTCTCAAATGCACAAAATGTCGTGTTCAGAAAGAATTGTGTCGTTTAGTCACCAGCGTCTTGCTCTGTCTAACTCCAAAGACTTACACACACACACACACACACACACACACACACACACACACACACACGCACACACACACACGCACACACACACACGCAATAATACTCCCCCTGGTTGTACTATTTATTTATATATGCAACAACTTATTCTATTAACATCACTCTATTATCATTATGTATTCTATTTTTTTTTATATCAGCGACTATTAAATGTGTCAGTGTAATCTTCTCTACGATGGTGTGGTAGCCATGATAAGAGAGGCGGTGACGTGTTTTGTGGGGGAGAGAGAGAAACACGCACACACATACGTCGTGAGCCAGGTAGGTAC